CGAGGAGAATGGACGGAAGAATGTCAGCTCCTAATAACACATCGACTTGGGAGCTCTCAAAGAAGTTGGGGTCCGCCAGGGTAATATTGGGCAGCCCCTTGAGACGATCTCGCGAAATCGGATATGATGGCAGATTTCCTGCCAACTGCGGAAGAACGTAAGCCGCAGTCTCTAATTGTAGCCCGGGTCTTGACGGCGACCGAATAGAGAAATGGCACAATTTAGTAGACTGCGCGGAAATGGTTTGATTAAGGCCGGAAACTTGGGCTTGAATCGTCTTGAAGGGAGGCTTGACGAGGTTGAACAGTCGTTCCGTTATGAACGTCGCTTCGGAGCCTGAGTCTATCAGTGCTCGTGCTTGGACGGTGCACCCCAAATGGCACACGTTGATAAGGGCCGTGCCCAGTAGGACGGCTCCTGACCCGGAAGCGAAACACACCTGCACATTCGACTGATCCTCGGGGCCGTTTGTTGACGTAGGCGGACTTGGAGCGGTAAGCTGCGTAGGCGGACTTGGAGCGGTTGCGAATGGATTGCCGCGGTGCAGGAGGGTGTGGTGTCTGCTGTGGCATGTGGAGCAGGTATGGGCGCTCGTGCAGTCTCGCTGCTGGTGCCCTCGGGCAAAACAGTTTAAACATAACTGCTTCCTCCTTATGTAGTCAGAGCGCCCATTTACATCCATTTCTAGGAAACGCGGACATAAGCGAATGGGGTGGTCCTCCCTCGAACAGAGATCGCAGCCCTTTTGGCCCGGAACCACTCGAGTCTCGTATGAAGTGAGCCTCCGAGCAGGGGCAGTAGGAAGTCCCGACCTTGGCGGAAATTGCACGGAGCCACTAGGCCTGACGTCGTCGATGGCCTCCAGAGTGCGATGGCGCTCTGTCAGGAAGCTGTCTAATTCCTTCCATGTTGGAATCTCGGCCTTATTATGTACGGATTGCTCCCACATAGAAAGTGTGACCTTAGGGAGCTTTGACGAAATCATAAATACAAGGAGACAGTCCCAAGCCTCAACATTAACGGAGAACATTTCTAGGGCTGTCAAACAACTCTGAATGGTAGCTTGCAGCTCCTTCAGCGCGACCCCGGACTCTTGAGAAATAGCCTGGATGTTGAAAAGGATCTTCAACTGGCTGTTGACCAATAGCCGCCGGTTCTCAAAGCGGTCTGTGAGGCTTTGCCATGCGGCGACAAACCCCTCATGGGTAAGCGGAGCCTTAGAAACAATGGCGTGGGCGTCACCACTTGGCTTGGACAATAAGTGGAACAACTTCTCTACCGGGGTGAGCCGCGAGTTTTGGATGTAAATGGCCGTAAACAAGTCTCTGAAGGTGGGCCACCGAAGATAATCACCCGCGAAGACCTCGGTATCCACCGGAGGTAACGGGCAGCCTGTAGGCGCGGGCGTGTGGACATTGACGGGAGCCTGAGTGGATTGGGAAGCAATTTTCTCCCGAAGCTGGGCAATACATCTCGAATAGACGGAGTAACAGTAGCTGTACTTCGCTTCCAGTACTGTCGAGGTGGCCGCATTGTCGTCGGACACGGCTAGCAAATCGGAGCAGCTCTCATAGCTCTTCTCCACCTTCTCCCATAGTGCCTGAATTTGGTCCCGATGAACTTCGCACATGTATTGGGAGCCTATTTCCGTTTCTGGGGCGCCCGGAGTACTTATGTTAGCCTCAAATTGGATAATTCGATCTGTTGTGGCGATAAATCTTTTCAACGCCACTTCGACCGCACTTGGAGCCATTTTTGCGACGGAGTGAGTCTGCCTCTGTGAAGGACCGGGGGTTGTATTGACGGATTCGTCACTCCTTGCCCTTGGACTGGCACTGGTAGCCTTAGGCTTCAAAAGAGGCGTCCGCGGAGATGCGGATTGAGATCTGTCCAAACGGATGGCTGGGATCGAACGCGGCTTTTTGACGTCTCCCGTGGGCATTCTCAGAGTCCAATTCGCTGATCAGCGCTTGTCGACTGACTCGCGCAACAGGTGCCCCGTACGAAGTGGTGGCCGGTCGCACTAATGTGATGAGAACGGTGAGATCGCGGATGAAAGGCAATTACAAGGAGCAAGTGCGAACTAGTGGCGCCGATGTGGAAAGGAAAGTCGTGTGCGGCACAATTCGAATGTGGAAAGAAAAACTTCAGGCACCAGAAAAAACCCAAAAGGAGACGAGGTTTGTTCGGATTGTAGGCGGATGTTGCCTGATGCGGAGTAGAAGCAGAGTTGGAGGCACGAAAAAATGGAAAAGGTACCGGAAAATTCGTGCTTGTTCGGAAAAAAATGATGACGGTCTATATATGTATGTATATTTCGACTTGTGTGGTTCGTACTGAATTTAATATATACTGAGATATTAAATTCTTAACTATTTTCGAATTTGCGGAGCCGGAAGGTGGACTTAACTTTGGCTTGAATTTAACACACAAAAATATAAATAATTAATTTTGGCTCACTGTCGGATTTAAATATGATGGAGCCAGAAGGGTGGAGTTGAAAATCTTAATTTGTAATCAATTGAGGTTAATTATCACGAAGCTGGAACGGTGGAATTGAAACCTAAATATTTAATTAATTGAATTTAATTAACACGAAGCCGGGAAGATGGAATTAAAAACCGCGGCTCTATTCGGACAGAAGGTGGATAATTAAATTAATTAATTATAATTTTCCGATAATTAAATCTTCGACTTTAATTATTGAGTGGCCGGAAAGGTGAATTAAAAAACCTGGCCCTTTGCTCAAACGGAAAATAAGAATTAAATAAATTTTCTTAGTTATAATTATAAATACATAAATTTATAATTAATTGATTTTTTAATCTATTTTGTTATGCAGCCGGTTATGCCGTCGGCACCCTGTACGTACCTCAAAGAAAAATAAACAGAACCGAAAAACACAACACGGCTAGGTCGAGAATTTAAGCGACACAATCACGGATTTGTAGTGAAATGGCGATTTATAATTGTTGGTTTTAGAAAATGCAAATTTTTTTTAATTTTATCGGCTATATATTTCCTGAAATTGGAGGCAGAAAATATTTGGAAATTATATGGACATGCATGCATGGAAATTATATGGACATGCATGCAAGTAGGGCAAGGGCATGTGGGGCATATGATGGTACAGTAGAGCTTCGATAAGTGGACTGTATATGTTAAATTTTATCGGGTATATATTTCCTGGAATTGAAGGCAGAAAATATATGGACATGCATGCAGGTACGGATATATGTAAGGGCATGTGGGCATTTGTTGACACAGTGGAGCTTTGATAAGTGGACTGTATAATTGGGGGAACAGAAAAGTTATGTGGTGTAAAAAATGACACTGATTGAGGAAGATAAAAACAAATATTACGACAGCGGCGGACTGTTCGGTGAATTTGGAAATTCCGGAACTAATTCACACCGGTAGCCAATATTAATTATGCCTTCTTTTTGTCACCACACAATATCACTGTTCACTTGCAAATTTTTCGCGGATTAATTGCACCAAAAATTATGTATGTGCGTATGTATGTATGCGGATGCACATATGCCTCGACCGTTGGCAAGCGAATGAATAACGGAGAGGCCGAAAACGGCGAGGAATATGGGCAGCACGCAAAACGGAGACGGATAGAAAAATTTGCCGAATTTTAAGATTATTATATGTACATAGATTATTAGAAAATCTCAACCTGCCGTTGTGTCGGAAAACTCGGACTTGGAGTTGACACGGAGGAAAAAACAATCTTGCAGCAGTGTGAACGAAATTTAATGTTCGGATCACTGCTGAAGACCGGCAGAGAGATGGGGACGGAAAAATGTACTTATCTTTTGGCGGAACAATGCCGAGAACTGCTGGCAGATGAAAATCCAGTAATTATCCGGCTCGAAGGACCAATGTTTTGTAGGGGGGCGTTAGTTCCGCAAAAGATTCCAGGAGTAGAAATGTTGAATAAAAAGTCGGGGGCGTCTTCCAGTGGATATAACGCGGTCAGCTTTATTGGGCTGCTTACATCGAATTAATTGCTTAAAAACTAGTGCAAAAAGTAATAGAAAAACTACGATCGACGACGGCCGGCGAAGGAGCGAGAGCGCAAAGAGGGGCGAGCGCGGATGCGCTCTTCAGCGCGGGTGCGCTCTTCAGTGCTGGTGCGCTCTTCAGCGCGGGTGCGCTCTTAAAGTTGCGGCACACCGGCCCCTCACGTAAACAATTATATATAATATATTTGTTATATATAATATATTTATTATATATAATATATTTGTTATATATAATATATTTATATATATTTTATAATATATATCATCAAGATCAAAAATATATATTCATAATTTGATCCATAAGATAATTCCTTCTCTATGTTATATGTATGTAACATTTTGTATGTAATATGAAAAAGGAATTATAATTATCTACGACCCCATAAAATTTATATATTATCTGTCAGTCTGTCTGTTTCCATACTGCACGCAGTATATACGCGGAGTTTTCGTTGGTTATTAAAATTTCCATGGCCCTACCGCCCTTTCAAATCGAACGCCAGGTGTTTTTGGGAAAACTTTTGAACTATTTCTATAGTTTATATATATCTTTAAAAAAAAATTTCATCCAAATCGACTGTTTCTTTGAGGTGATATGCCCATATATTTTGGGTCTATAACTCAATTCGGGCGGCCCTTTATCAGACTTTGAACGTTTATTAAAAAAAGAACATGTATAATAGTTTTGCAACGTTTTGCATTGGCTGCTTGAGTGACTCCCAAAGATTGTGCGTGCTCTTCTTGGGTTCGGCAAAAATGTTTATCGAGTAATGCTTCCAGTTAGTCATCTTCAAACTTTTTTCACTGCCCAGGACGTTCTGTATCTTCCAAGTCAAAATCGCCACTTTTAAATCGCGCGATACACTTTTGGCTAGAGCTAGAGCATGATCACCATACACTTCTACCAAAATAAGATGACGTTCGGCAGCAGTTTTCTTAATATTGAGGTAATGAAGAAGAACTCACCGCAAAAACACTTTTCGAGGCTCAAACTTCGACATATATGATTGACCAAAAATATTGTTGCTCACGCTTCAAATGAATGACATATACTGAAATAGATGTACAATAACATTAGCTTTCAAACGCATCCCCCGAATATTAAAACGATGGTAGAATAGTCATTCGGCGCCATCTCTTAACAAATCGCACGAACTCAGTTATAGACCCGGTTATTTTTCAGTTATTGTTATATAGAGATAGAGCTACCCGATTTGGAACTTGGACTCTATGGCATCCACGGAGATCAAGTTTGTGTCAAAGTTTGCTACGTCCATTTTAGTCCTCAAAACATAAATCTGGTTCTAGCGCCAGTTTGTTAATGTTTCTGGAAAATGTTTTGATGCCAAACTATTCCAATGGTTAATTTACACTTACAACACCAACCATTTAGCCAAATCGGATAATTTTTAGAGGAATTATAGACTTTTTAGACTTCTGCTTCCCTACTGAATTGGTAGTATGGCTGTAGGTTTTTTTTTTGTTGTTTTAAACATAACATAAAGTTTAAACTTTAAAGCAGTGATGGACATGCTCTCATTTCCCATTGCACGCGTGCATAAGGTCGGAAATTCTGCCGCAGCGCGGCTGAATGTTTCCACTGAAAACAAATTTTCTCTAAAGTTGGGTTGGAACAAGTTTTCTCCATAGAAAAAATAGATAGGGAAGAGAAGATTTCCATTTGTTCAAGAACTGTTGCTAGAAAAGCTTTCTTTAAATTAAAGTACACTGTTTTAGTGCCCATTCCTACTTTTAAATTTTCCTACTTTTCCTACTTTTTTTTGCCACAAATCAAGTTGAAATGTAAAGAAGATCTTCACCGATTTGATGTATCATAGTTCATACGAGCGCTATAGAAGTACAGAATAACGTATTAAAATTTAGAACCGATTGGATGGTTCTTTAGGATTTTTTTTGAAAAAATCGATTTTTTTTTTAAGGATGTAGTCTCATGTTCCGGCCTTCTTTTTAGAGGTTATTTCAAAAAATTTTTTTTGGAATAAAAAATAATGCGATCGGTCCAATTTTAACATATGTTTTTATAGGCATCATAAACTATTTGAAAATTTTTTGTTTAATTTATTCTTGTGTAGTTTAATACACTTAATAGCATGCCAAAGTATGCATATAAAAAAAAAGGTAGGTCCCTGGCGCAGGTGATTTCGACTGCTAGAGTCATCCGAAACAAAAAATTAGAATAGATTATTGTTTTGTAAGCTTATGGCTCTGTCCCGTACTAGAATGAAATATTTTCATCAATAAACAACAAAATGGCGAACTCACAAAACAAAATATTACAAAAAATTTTAAATTTTAATCTTAAATTAATGATAAAAAAAAACTAATCATTAAAAATTAATGATTCTAGTACGGGACAGAGGTGTTACTTTTTAGAACAACATATCCAAATTTCAGCTAGATCGGTACTATAGAATTTTGTGAATCACCTGCGCCGCACACAAAAATGTCGTTCCGAGAAAAACGCGTTTAAAGTTTAGACGCTACCGAGAAACTCATACTTTTCGGTGTAGGCGCGCTCTCGATTATGGGCTGTATCTCTGTCATTATTTGATATTTTTATTTGAAACTTTAACAGTACATTCTTAATAAACAATACTATCGAAATATGTGAAAAAAAAAATCGATTTTTTCAACCTCACACATGAGACTACATCCTTAAATAAAATGAAAGTTACATATGTGTAGTATATAAGTGCCAAGGGATATTTCGATACGACGCGTATTTCTTGAGCTAGAGCGTGTCAAACATACCCACGATAACAAGAAAGCTATCTCACGGCAAAGTTTCTAAAAACTTTACACGCATTTTTCTCGGAACCATGTTTTCAAATCTCTTGTCGGCTCGTTCTATGGATCGGATTTCCTTCATTCAAAAAATGTTTAAAAGTACATACTTTTTTGTATGCCTTATACCTAAAATTGGCATAAAAAATTGTTTATAATTTTTAAACGAGATCAAAGTAAAAAAAAAAAGAGAAAAAACGTCAATTTTTTTTAAACGTCCATGAAATTTGTTTATTTTTACGAAAATTAATTGTCGTTAGGTATAAGGCATAGGAAATTCCATAAATTTTAATAAATTATATACATTTCTAATTTAAGTTCACTACCAGCGGCCCGACACTAGACAAAGCAGAAAAATAGAGGTCGACCAGATCCGCCATTTTGAATTTCCTGAATATTGAATATTTTTTTCAATCGTTAATAAACAACGAATCAAAAGTTTAAAAGCATAAGTTCGTATGTCTTTTCATTTTCCCGCAATCCATTCTCAAATGGAGAATCCCCATCAATCTCCCTGCCCCCCTTCCCCCTATACCCCTAATACCTCTCGCTCTGCGCGTTACGTAAGCGGGAGTTTGTTTACAACTTATTTTGCAGACTTTTGATTTTGAACTGTGAATATCATTTCCTTCATACGTCATAAGTATAAAGACAAGTGATATAATGGAAGAGTCATCTGCTCGCTCGCAGCCTAGCAATAGGAGCGATAAATTTGAGATGAGACAAATAGCTGGTGCAGACCCTGGAGATATAAGATCCCAAATCCGCGCCCGCCATTCGGATCAATCCGCCTACCTTGCAGGTATGCCTGATCAAACAGCAATCACCAGCTCCATGGTGACAATCAGCAGTAACTCTACTACTAGTGTTATCTGCACCATTACAAACACCAAAACAACCTTGCGCAATACCTATACTTACACCGTGGCTGCGACTGCGGCCAGCAGCATATGCTCAACTACGTCTCCGCTGACAAATGTATCAACTCTGTTAGCGAATAAACCAAGTAAATGTCTGTTCCAAGCTCCTGGACGAAAAGTCAGCCGAAAACGAAAAGACGTGGCTCAGCCCTCTTTACCTGTCTGCACTCCGCCCCCGATCCGCAAAACTAAGTTGCAGACCACAACGGCGATCAACAAGCCGGCCGATTCTTCCTCCGCAAACGCATTGGGTAACAATCGATTCACAATTCTGGCTGCTGAAACAGAAAAAATGGAACAGGACCTGGAGGATGTTGACTCTATCAGTGGGGATACAATTCCACCTGGTGGTGTCGATCATTCCGCAAAATCCAACAAGATACCTGCTATTTGTGTACCGAACGTAAGCGATCCGGTCTTATTGGAAAAGTCTCTGGATCATAGCATTGGCTCCACTAACTACAACATTCGCACTTCCAAATTTGGGGTTTCTAGAATATATACAGCCAACTCTGACGCTTTTAGGGTAGCTGTAAAAACACTGACATCGCTTAACTGCCAATTTTGGCACCATCAGCTAAAACAAGACAAGGCCTTCAGAGTAGTTGTCAAAGGAATCCATTCAAATGTTCCGAAATCACAGATTGAACAGGGATTTACTGACAACGGCTTTGAGGTCCTTAACATATACTGCCCCAAAAAGACAGATTGGAAGAACATAGAGGTTAACGAAAATGATAATGAAGCCTCAATAAATTTTAAAACTAGGCAAAACTTGTTTTATGTCAACCTAAAGCAGGGTGCAAACGTAGCAGATTCCCTAAAAATAACAAATCTTGGGAGATATAGAGTCACTGTCGAGCGTGCTTCCCGCAGAAAGGAATTGCTTCAATGTCAAAGGTGTCAACTTTTTGGGCACTCGAAAAACTACTGTGTCCTGGACCCAGTTTGTGGTAAATGTAGTGGGCCTCACGCTACTGGTTCCTTACTCTGTGTAAGCGACACATACTTGTGCGTAAACTGTGGTGGTAACCACGCCACGACAGATTCAAGCTGCCCAGTCAGAATAGAAAAAAATAAAAAACAAAAGCCGAGGCCTAGACTCCCGACAACCAATCATCCAGCACGCGCTTCGCGTGGATTCATATCAGCTGAAGCCTTAAGAACGAATATATCGTATGCTGATATAGCTCGACCCAAAGAGAGTCCAGCAAGGACTGGCTCAACTCTGCAGACTGACGCAAGCACTCCTTCTGACCCTAGGCTCAGCCATAAATTCACAGCGATAGATATTGCCATCCGCGACATCAATTCCAAACTGGACACTCTGTTTGAGCTGATGCAGGAAAATGAAGAGTCCAACAAGGCTTTCAGAGAGCTAGTCCAGGCTCTTATTGCGCGATTACCGAAATGATTTAACCAGCACTAAATATCGGATTGTGGAACGCTCGTGGACTAGTCAGAGTATCTGAAGAGCTTCGATTATTCCTCAGCGCTCATAACATAGACATAATGCTTGCCACAGAAACACACATGCGCGCCGGTCAGCACATCTACTTGCCAGGCTATCTCATATACCATGCTTACCACCCCAGTGGTAACAGCAGAGGTGGCTCTGCAGTTATTATTAAGGATTCCCTAAGTCACATACCCCTGCCCTCCGTCTCTAGCAATGACAGACAGATAGCGAGCGTCCAATTACAGACTTCGGAAGGGAATGTCAGATTAGTGGCAATATATCTACCTCCATCAGAAACATGGGTTCAATCAGAATTCGAATCCTTGCTGGCCGAATTTGGAAGTAAGTTCATTGCCGGCGGTGATTATGACGCCAAACATGCATGGTGTGGAAACTCACGAGCCTGTAGAAGGGGTAAGCTGTTACAAGAAGTCATTGCGAACGGGCATTACCAAGTACTTTCCACGGGTGAACCCACTTTTTACTCATATAACCCCCTACTAACACCGACAGCGCTTGATTTTTGAGGCTACAAGTAAGAACAATCCATGAACTATCCTCGGATCACACTCCTATAATGGCCATACTGCACGCAACACCTGAGAGAAAACCACAGCGCTCGCGACTCCTTGCCAGAGGTGCCAATTTAAACGCTTTCAAAGTCCACCTAGAATAGCTGAGCGAGGTTAGCATAGAAATCCAGGAACCTTCTGACATTGACAATGCCATCAGCCTTTTCATGCGCATGATAAACCAGGCTGCTGTGATAGCTGCACCCAGCAACCATCAACATACATTTACATCAATACATCCCCAGCTACCACCCAGAATTGGTGCGCTCCTCAATCTAAAGCGAAGAATAAGAAAAGAATATTCAAGAACGGGAGACGTCCGAATCCATCAGATATATAATGGGCTGGCTAACTGTCTAAGTAAGGCGCTCGCCAGAAGAAAACAAGCATGCATAGACAGATTTTTGGAAAACCTAGACACAGATGCTAGTTCTAACTACTCGCTGTGGCGTATCACAAAACGGTATAAAGCTCAACCCACCCCAAAATCAGCCATAAGAAATCCCTCAGGTGGCTGGTGCCGTACGAGCCTAGAGAAAGCTGAAGTATTTGCTAACAACCTTGAGCAACGCTTCAAGCCTTACGAATACTCGCCTGACAGTATACGTCGACAAGTTGAAGAGTTTCTAGAATCTCCATTTCAAATGAGTCTGCCTGCTAACCCTGTCTCACTGACAGAAGTGAAAGACCTTGTAGGTAAACTCTCGCCAAAGAAAACTCCTGGTGAAGACCTTTTGGACAACAGGACGATCCGACATTTACCAGATCAAGCCTTGCAATTCCTGGTGACGTTGTTCAACAGCATACTAACTGTTGGATACTTTCCGAAAGTTTGGAAATCGACAAACATACATATGATCCCAAAACCAGGAAAATCGCCAACTGACGTGGACTCATACAGGCCCATTAGTCTTTTACCATCCCTGGGAAAAATCATGGAAAGGCTCATCCTGAACGGGCTACTTACTCTTGAGAATGTCACCAGTGCGATCCCGCAATTCCAGTTCGGCTTTCGTCTTCAACATGGAACTCCTGAGCAATTGCACAGAGTTGTTAATTTTGCCTTAGAAGCCTTTGAGAAGCTTGTATGGAGTATGGCACCCTTGGCTCCTGTATAAAGCCAAAAGTCTTCTTACGCCACAGCTGTTCCAGCTCGTGAAAAGCTTCCTGGAAGAACGCACAATCCACGTATCTGCTGATGGATACAAGTCGTCCACCAAACCGATCTCTGCTGGTGTTTCCCAAGGTAACGTCCTCGGCCCTACTCTATACTCTATCTATGCTTCAGATGTACCTAAAAGAACTCCAATCACTGAAGTGAATGAGCAAGACGTGCTAATTGCGACCTACGCTGATGACAATGCTGTCCTGACCAAAAGCATTAGTATCTTGGCAGCCATATTTGCATTGAAGGAAAATCTGGACGCATTTCACCAATGAGCCACGAACTGGAACATTCGTGTAAGCGCAGACAAATGCCCCAATGTAACGTTTACCAATTGCCGAAGTACCTGCCCAGGAGTCAACCTCAACGATAGTCCAATCAGAGCCCTTCCTGCATACAAGTAGCTCGGTGTCACCTTGGACAAAAAACTCACATTTGGCAGGCACATTACGTGTATCCAAAACTCGTTCAGTACTAAAGTGGCTCGGATTTCCTGGCTCCTCACACCACCCAACAAGCTCGCACTTGCAGGGGTGCAGATACACAAGTCCATATTAGCGCCCAGTCTTTTCTACGGACTCCAGGTTTATGGTATCGCTGCAAAAACCAACCTGAACAAAATCCTGGTTTTGCAAGCGAAAACTCGTCGAAGGATCTCTGGAGTTCCGTGGTTTATGCGAACCAGAGAAATCGAACGAGATCTCAACGTGCCTAAAATCGGAGGCAAGTTGCAGGAACTTGCTCGGAAATACATGGAACGACTAAATGAGTACTCCAACAGCCTAGCTAAAAAACTTGGTACCGCTGCTATCAGGAGCGCTGATCCAAGTAATCGAGTCAAGGGAAGGCTGAAAAGACACCACATTCAAGACCTACCAAACAGGATCTTGATCTAGCCATTTCGTCATCCTCGACATAAACATAAATAAAAATAAAATTATATAAAAAACCATTTAATCACTTCTTGCCCTAAGTAACGCTTAGACTATATATATAGCCGAAAAATTAAAAATTTTTTGTGTGCGTCAGATTTGAATAAATGATACATGAATAAAAAGGTATTGTTTTAATTAGATAATTTTATCGAAAAATGTTTTAAAAATGAAAAGATATATGCAAAAAATCTTTTATATTTTAAAATAAAAATAAAAAATATTGGGAATGTTTGTCAACCTTGGTTCTAAAATTTTTTAAAATTCCTTTGGTTAACTTTAAAAAATAAAATTAAAACTATCTTAAGGGGTTATATAACTTTTTTTTCAAATAAACGAAAACAGTTTTTTTGCTGAATCCTAAAGTATATCCCCTAGAGAATATTTTCCCAAATTTTCATAGAGATCCGAATAATAGTTCGATAGAAAAACAGTGTTCAGGCTGCGGACAGCGTCAAGCAATTTTGAATGCGATTATCTCAAAGTCGTGTTTTTCCAAAAGTGCCTTCGCTGTGACCACGATTGCACAAGAACTATTTTATCGATCTTCTTCAATTTTTTTTTTTTTTTAATTTTTCGTAATGATTGTGCCGAGTTCGTGAACGATTCAGTTTTTATGCGCCAATTTCGATCAGAATTTTTTAATACAATTTATAGAACTCAAAAAATCAATTTTTTGGAATAATTGTTACTGTATGCAGAAAAAACCAAATATTCTTAAAAATAATCGTTCACGAACTGGAAATAATACTATACTATTAAAAATTTTTGGTTTTTTATTTCGGTTGACCTGCTAGACTTCCATCGTGGTCACCGCAAATCGCTATATAAAAAAAAATGGTTCCGAGAGAATTGCCATAACTTCGTAAATTATTCATATTTTTTCAACAACAAAGGCTTGTTGTTTCGATAAAAACATGTACTATCAATAAATAATAACTTCAGTGTCATGAATAATAACTTCAAAACAATTGCTACACACCTGAAAAAAAAATCCAAAGTTCCCTAAATTTTTTCGCTCAAAAAGGTATATAACCCCTTAACTTAAAAATTAACTTTAGTAATAATAAAGATATCTAAATATGAAAAACTTTATTGGAAAGATTTTTGGTAATGGTTTAGATCTATATTTGTTGATTTTAAAATTTGGATTCATTTGGAATCTTTAATAACGTAAATGTATTAGAGATGCGCCTGCGTTGGCAAAAATGGGACTCATTTAAGTTGGGTGTTATGGTGCAGGCCTTACAGAAATGCATTTATTGATCGGTTTATCTTTTCTGCAACAAATCTATTTACATTACATTTACATCAATCAATTTAATGGGTGTTTCAGGATGTTTAACAATTGTTGAAAAATTTTTAAAATTGTTTGAACAAGGAAATCGCCAATGCAGTGTTTTCGTTTGCCCGGCGTACAAAAAAAATGGTACCTAAAGCTACCCGACGATTTAATGAGCTTGGATATGACCACCAACTCGTATAACTCCTTTTACTACTGTGGGAAAAAAGGTTAAACATCCAACCGACGATTTTTCAGCACTAATTTCTTCACTTCATTGAGTGTTGGTCATCTGTTAACGTCGATGGTCGTCCGAAGCGTTCCAAGTCTTCAACACGTTCCCGACCCTCTTTAAAGTCTTTGTACCACTTACAAACATTTTTCTCGGACATAGTAGAATCACCAAAGGCCTTCCGCAGCATCGTTAACATTTCCGCAGTCAAAATTTCATTCCCCAAACAAAATTTGATAGCAGCATTTAATTCAGCAGAGGAATTAAATCAGAAATTTTTTTATGCTTAAATAATAAAATGTTTTTTAATTTTTTATGCCTAAATGAATATTTTCATCCCTTGCACAAAGGTAAATATTTGGAAAAACAAAAAAATACGTATTTAGTAGAGTTTCCCAAACGGTACCCGATACCACTAAGCATACAGCATATAAAAAACCCATTTCATCCAACGAAAATAGACGCAAAAATTTCTTGCGACAGGCCCAAGAGAGGATTTCTTACGCTCTCTTACGCTGCCAAAACCCGAACGACTTTGACAGCCGAATGGAGTACCTTGTATAATTGTATCATGTCTCTGGGGCTTGTCTCAGGAAATTTTTGAGTCCATTTTCGTTGTATGAAATGGGTAGTCTATATGCTGTGGTTATGGTATGTACATTCATATGTATGTAATATGTACATACATACAGTCATATACATATATGATTCTGCAACATGGACCTCAAGGGAACATCCTCAAGGAAGCTTTTTTTAAGAAGCAGGGCAATGTACATACTTGACTAAAAATCAAACCAACTGGTAATCAAACGTTAAAAATAGAATAATATAAAAAAAAGTTTATGATTACTGATTTTGTACACTTGCTGGAACTTACATTTTATAACGGGTTAAAAATTGGCAATAAAGACTTAAGAATATTTTGTTAAAGAGACCGTTATTTATCAAAGATACATTTCAGCTATATTCTATTTTTTTTAAAATAATTTTATTATAATGTATAATTACTCACCAAGATCTTAAAATTACTTTTTTACAATGCACCATATTCTGCAAAAAAACGATGATTGATCGATCGACGATCGATATTGAGCTTTCAAAATATTTTGTTGTATTAAGGGACTTTTACAAAACATTGTCAGTATGTCAGTTCCAATTAAAACATAACAACGCAAGAAATCAACATTCGAACACATACTCTCAATTGTTGTTTTAAACAAATTTTACTTGTCGCGCGGATTTATTAGCATTTGTACCGCCAAACTGAAAGAGGGACTCTGCCTAAAAACGTACGACTCTATGAGGTCGATACGACATAGATACATTTTTGAAAAGATGGTTTTAAATTTGAAGGCGGGGAAAGCGAGACAATGCGATACGGACAATTTTAATTCGAACATACAATACCATAAAAGAATCATGCTGAGCGTATGTATGTATTTTGAAGTACAATGGCTAAAAGAAAAAAGGACTGCTGCCCTTCTAGATGTTAGATATGAAAGCGTGTTAGTTTATTGTTTCTTGCGTAATATCTGGTTTTTTTATGTTACGTTGCTTTAGGCTACCCGCGCCCAACAAAAAATTTAAAAAAATTTGCCATTGTCATTATTAGAGCTGGCTTTGACAAATTTTACCAGGAACACGCGTTATTGGTGCCATCAAATAAATCTAAGCTTAGAGTTTCCGTTTCCGTTCTTAAGATTTATCAAGTAAGCGTAATTCTTTGTGCACACATAATATATATGCAATTTTCGATCAATAAAGAATTAGCCACTCTAGCAATTCCAACTAGCAAACAACTTGACGTTGGAAAAGGCAAGGTTTATTATGGAAAATGTAAATTGCTGAAGAAGCACGAAAATATGTAGAATGTCTAATATGGTTTCAGATTTGAATGAACTAAAACAAACATATAAACTTACAACCTTTATTAAGGGGTTATATACAGTTGTGATATATGAAAATATCGATTTTTTTTATTGCATATTCTTAAAGTATATTCTATTGGGAATACTCTCACAAAAATTCAGATTGATCAGAGCATTAGAACCGAAGCTGTAGCTATTTATAGCGCAAAATCTGCATATACAACTTGAACAAACTTGAAACTTTAAACGCGATTATCTAAGAATCTTTTTTTTGGGAAATTACCTTTGCGGTGGACACGATTACTAAAAAACTACTAATCCGATCAACACCAAATTTTAACCACTTATTTATTATGATATTAGCTAGTCCGTGAACGAGGGATTTTCCATTTTTTTTTAAACTCCTTTTTTAAAGCACAAAAAACGAAAATCTTATACCTTGAAAAAGTACATTTTTTGTTATAAACGTCGCCATTTTTTTTTTAATCAAAATTTTTAAAAATCCCTCGTTCACGGACTAGACAATACAATATACTAACTAAACTTTTTTGAATTTTGGATTTCGGATGAACGGTTTTCGAGAAATCCTGTCCACCGCAAGACACCATCGAAAAAAGACGATTCGGGAATTCGGCTATAACATTTTTGTTATGTAATATTTTTTTTATGAAAAAATTTAATTAGGTACTCAAAAACATGTACTAAACAACGTCGGTAAAACATTTTTCATAAATATTTTTTATGGTGTCAAAAAAAAATCGAAAAAATTCCATATTCTTGCGCGGTACAACTGTATATAACCCCTTAAAAATAGGTCTCAAATTTTTAACTTCCTTCTTAAAATTCTGCTAAAAGGCTTTTATAAAATGACAAAATTTTAATATTGGCACTCACAAATTGAACAATTAATAAAATTTAACTCACAGTTAAATCCTGTCATATAACTACTCATTACTTTTTATTTGCTTATTGCTTTCTAACTTATTGCTTTCATTTTACAATTATAATTCTAAGTAAAGTAAAAAATAAAATATTCTCACCAACCCCAATCGCTCTCAACCGCAACAGCTGACCTCACAGCTGTTATTTTCATTATAGTTTGATGGGGATCCTTGAGTGACTCCTGGTGTAAACGGACTAAGTGGTAATGTACTTTTAAAAAATGTAGCAAAGATTAATTTTACGCAACAGGGGTTGCGTAATAACAGAACTTAATGCTTTACGTAAGTCAGTTTTAATAAAATCAGTTGAAAACTTCTTATCGGTAGCCATCTAAAACCAAGGACTAAAAACCAATAAATTAGAGGTAGTGGAGCGAACTTAATGCTTCATGCTAAAATGATTGAAGTACGATGCTAAATGTTTAATTTTTTAAATTTTTTGTAAAGTTGATTAATTAATTTAAAAATGAGAAGCCATTGGCGCCTGGCGAATAAACGTGCTTAACCCTACTAGTTACTTGTACTCTACGATTACCTGAATGTTGATTTTGTTAATTTGTTAAAAAATGGTAAATATTTTATGTATAAGTTAATTGAAACATTTAGTTGAGTTAAAAAAAATATACAGTCGAGTCCCGATAATTCGAAATGGCAAGGGGATCTTTTTTTTTGACGAATTAGACGGGAATTCAATTTATCGAGATTTCTATTAAACGGGGCTCAAAAATGAAAGAGTCGAATAAACGGGGTTTTTACATTTCACATTATGTTTACATATGTATTTAACTTTATTAAAATTAAACAAACATTATAAGTATGTACATTTTTCAAATGAGGGGAAAATTAAACATTAACATAAAATTGTAATAATAAAAAATTAAACAATTAAGCAGAAACATTAAATTATAAAAAAAACAAAAATTCAAGCTTTAAAATAATTGTTAATTTTTGGTAACAATAATTTGTAACAGCAAACTAAACGAAAACAGTGAGAGAAACACAAAATTCATAAGCGACATAAAGGCGGCAAAGCTGTCTGAAAAATCTAACGGTGCTTTAACTACAAAAAATTTCGCATCGCATTACGATTTATAAGAGGTTACGAAACAAAATTACGATTTATAAGAGGTTAAATATTCTTTGCGTTGCGCCAATTACTACGAATTAACGAGAGGACCAAAATGTATCGAATTTTTACGAATTAACGAGTTTTTTTCAAGGGGTCAGAATTTTTTACGAATTATCGCGATTTTCGATTTAACGGGGTACGAATTATCGGGATTCGACTGTAATTCTATAGAGCAAATTAAGTTTTTAAGTTTTGTCACAATTTTAATGAAATATTTCTGGTTGTGGCTCTGCTGGCTGCGCTGCTTCATCGGTTCCATCGCTACTTATTTTTTGTTCCGTTTCCGTTGTTCTTGATGCGTTGTTGTTGCTGAGTTGCGAGAGAGTTGCTGATTTTATATTAATGTCGTTGTTTTACTTTTACACTTGATGGGTCTGCGATTGGTTATGTTGTTCTTTCGCTAATGTGGCTGTTATTATCATATCCGTCATGTTTTTGGCGATAAAGTTTCCGACTCAAAACAAGACGGTATTGTCCGGGATATTGGGACCGCTGTACACGTGTCGTGGGTTAGCTGTAATGCCTTTAGCTGGACTAAAGCCAGCCTTTAGCTGGATTAACAAATGAAAAATATGGCTTTATCCGATAAAACAGTGAATAAATAAATGAATTGAAATTTGTAATACAGGGTGACAGTAAATAACACGGACAAACTTTGAAGCAATCTATTATACATGTGTTATCATGCAGCCCTTAAATAAATGAATTTATCGATAGTATCATAAATTGTACTTGTACTTTTCGGAAAGAAATATAATTACATTTTTGTGATTCCCATCAATTTGATATTTGTTTCGGGATGTCTAACAATCGTTGTGCAATTTTAAAACTGTTTCAACAAGGAAATCGCCAATGCGACATTGTTCGTTTGCTTGGAATACCAAAACAAACGGTCTCTGACGCTATCCGGCGATTTAATGAGTCCCAGACGAGGCAGACCTTGCACCGCTAACACTTTTAGAATTCGCCAGATCGTAAAAAAGCGGATCACTCGGAATTGCAGAGTCTCGGTCAGAGAAAATAGAAAAGTGTTCGGTTGATTGCAAAAATGAACTTAATCTCAAGCCCTACAAGCTCCAAAAAATGCATCTTCTTACGGATGACAATAAGCGCGTGAGACTCCAAAGATGCCGTCAGCTTAAGCGTCGGGACGCAGGACAAAATTGGGAGCGTATTCTCTTTACGGACGAGAAGATATTCACCATTTAACAGACTAAAATGAAAGAAGCTGGTCGGCTGAAGCTCTGCAATAATCGTCTTTAATGGTTTGGGGAGGAATATGCGCCACCGGTAAAACACCCCTTGTTTTCATCGATCAAGGGGTCAAAATAAATCAGGAAGTGTACCGCCGGGACATTTTGGAAACTTTTGTGCTTCCGTGGGCCCAGCAGCACTTCGGTGTTACGGAGTGAGCGTTTCAATAGGATTCAGCGCACACAGTATGTGGTCGATTTTGGAGTCAAGGCATGTGCTAAACGTCACATAAGTTTGGAGGCGCTGAAGCAATCATTGCTCCGAGAATGGGATCGATTATCGGAAGAAGACCTGCGGCCCATTGCGCTAAATTTCCAGAAACGTTTAGGGCTCTGAATTGCATCCCAAGGAAGCCACATCGAAAACAGCTGAATATATGTTAACACAATACCTATTTAATAGTTGTGTATCTGCATTTTTTCTCAAATACAGTTTCTTAAAAAGTTATGATCAAAAATGTTTGTCCGGGTTATTTATTGTCACCCTGTACATGAAAATGTCGTATTTTACTGAACAACTATAACTACACACAAGTCTTATAAAAATTCCAAGCGAAAGTGGAAATATTCCAAAGTAAATTCCCAGAGCATTGGGCAGCATTCCTACCGTTACCGGTTTGCCGTCACCGAGAGGTGGAAATTCATCTTCCTTGTGCAAACAAACGAAGTATGTTACTACGTAACAGGAATATGCAAAAGATCGGTGGCTGGAGGCTGGTGAAAGGACTACGGATGAAACTTTTATTGCACGCGAAACCAGGAATGAGTATAATGAATCGGAAGACTCATGAACACTTGAATCTGAGTTGATTATCCGCTACATCAGTTTTGTCTCAGGAGGAATATGATTTAAAATATTTTACATATAATCGCTAAAGGTATAAGCCCATCGCTTCACAAGGC